CCATTATACGATGAAATATCTAAGTATTCCCAGTCAATTTTAGCAAATATTTCAAGCACTAAACAGTGAAAAAGGCATCCCAAATTTCGTTAAAATTGGGGACGCCAATTTCGTAGCTACAAATGTAAAAAAATACAAAACAAAGACCTAAAACATTTACCTTGAATACTTTGTCGTGGCTTAGGCATGTTTTTAGAACAATTGGACCAGTATATGCTTCAATATCACTCTTTTAAAGCGGAAAGTATAGCGAAACAACAAAAATGCCGATAACTTTGCAATACGCGTGACGTCACAGATTGCAACTAGGTTGTTTTTGCTTACGTCAGCTAGAGTCCTATCCATTTATTTTATTATCCATGATTAAACCAACTAAGTTCTAATAGATGTTCCAATTTGGATTTGAAATTGTTCCGCAGACGTGCGTAGTTGTTGTCGGGTGCGCCGTATGCTTGCGTGAAAGTCAACGGTTCCAATTTAAAGGTTCCAAATCCTCACTGCAAATCCGCTATTATTTCCACAAATAAACAAAGTTCAGCAATCAAATACACAAAGGTAGGTCAACTGTTTATTTACAATCCTCTGAAATATCCTGAGTAAAATTGCAAAAACTGTGGCACAAAAAGGCAATAAATGCGGAGCAGTTAAACTTGCGCTTACGCCGCGATAGCGCGTCACGTTGTCACTGTGACGCAATATTTATCATTTATAGACCCGGAGCGATGGGGATTCGGCGGAATATTAGCAGAAGTGATGATATTTCCCGAGGGGCTTTGCCCCAAGGTTTGAAAAAGAATAGTTTAAAAGAGTTTTAAAAAGCAAAAAAAAGTTAGATTTTCAAAAAAGTTAAAAAAGTTAGATCTTCAAAAAAGTTTAAAACGTTATGGTTAAGGATTAGTGGATAGTGGTTTGGGTTGGGGTTAGTGTTAGGTGTCGCGAATTTATAATTATGATAAATTCAAAATGTGCCGCGAATTTATCACAATGATAAATTCGGACGTGTTTAAGAATTTATATACTGATATATAGTAAATTAAAAAGTTGAGCTCATGCTGTATTTTACACAATCCATACATTTTAATTAACCACAAAAACCTCGCCTATGGCGTCACATTGTATAGCACAATTATATTATATATGACCATGTAAGTTTCAGTCAATACTGAATACCAAAGCATCAACGGCCTTCATGCGATTCCGGTACAGCGCTGCACCTGAATCGCAGGACGCAGGGACCTATAGTTGTAGTTTCGCAGCTGTTTCTAGTTAGGTATAATATGTTTATATAAATTTTCACGCGATAATTTCCATTTACATGATGCCAACAAAATGCAAACAAACTGTCTTTTTCGATGTTGAAGAGCGTTGTTTTCTTCGTGACTTCGGCAGGTCCAAATATAGTTATCATTTTCCACCACTAAAACGGAAATTCCTCACGCTTTCGCCACGGCTCCTGTATAAGCTTATATTCACGTGGTTGTTTCAGCTTGTGTAAGCCTATATTCACGTTCTTGTTTGAAACTGTATCTGTATAAAAAATATGTGGGCAATTACCAATTCCAGCAAAAACCTGAAAGTGCAAGAGGCGACTTGCACTAAGCTGTTACCTGATCTCAACATGCTTAACTGAGTATAGGCGAGTAGGCACTGAGTTGGCATGTATTTATATCACGATGGAGAGCATACTGAGCGGTGTTCTATTTATATTTCTGAAACATTGGTTTTTAAAACATGCATTGGTTAAGCGAAAATAGAAATATTGTAACTGGTCACGTGCTTGACTAATATAAAAGTGCACCAACGTAATCTTTTTAAATCCCACTATTTTGTACTAAAACTACATCAAATACGCAAGTAGGATGAATGATGACTTTTCATAGCAAAATCGTTGCATAAACGTTGTTTATTTTGGTTACCGTAAGATATGTTGCATGTTCCCATGCATACAAAGTCTCATTAAACGTTTCCGTATTACGTGGGAATGCCTTGACACCACGGATACGGTATTGGAATGAGTCGTAAAGAGGCATGCCAAAGCCAATATTTAATGCCACAAATTTAATCTAAAGACACATTTAATCTAAAGTGCTAGAATTAAAATGCTTTCGCCTTTAGAAACTTACACTTGCTTGTCGTTACTATATGCATGTATAGGCTATTATATTCACTTACTGTACGTGTTATTATAGGTTCGTTTAAGTGATGAAATAGGCTAAGAGATCACGCAAGGATTGTAATAACTCAGATCATGTAATCAGGCGAGGAGCAGCTTCATGAGCAAGTTTTAAAATGTTAAAGAGAATACTCTCAGCCAGGTTTGTGAACGACCTTTTCGGTGCAAAACTGATTTAGATCAAACCTGGCATTAGCATTTTGAACTCGCTGTTGTTTCTTTTGTAAGGAAGCAGGAAGAGGTAAAGTTACAGAGTCATTAAAGGTTCAACCTGGAAAGTACTATATAGACTTTGCATGTGGTAGGCTAAAGACTTTTTTGTATCTTGTGGTACGGTGTCAAATTTTTCAGTTTCCGCAGAGTAGGCTTTTACAACCTGGTTAATATGGTATAAGTCCATTTCATGAGATTGGAAAAATGTGCTGAAATCCTCGAAATGTTACTGACAATCCTCGCCGTGGCCCACAGTCAACCATAATGCCCCCCCCCCCCAGTCAAGGTCACTTTTCTCTAAAATATAAGCAAAACTTTGGAAGAAAATTGGAATTGAGAAGGGAGGTTTGATATTCTAGTAACTGAACCTTGCTTTGCGAACCTTATGTCATATATTTTATCCACAAATGAAGTCTAGCTAAACCATGTAAATATATCACAACTCGGTCACTAACTTAACATACAAGGCAAGTACTTAACTGAAGATTCAGTCAACCTACAGTATAATGTAACACTATATATCGAACAATCTGTTTCAGAAAACGCACAAAATGCAATCCTATAGGGGTGAAAAATACGAATATGTTCTGGGGAGAATGCCCCCCAGACCCCCTACTATTGCATACGACACTACACCAAACTTTTTGTCATCATACAATTACTCTCCACACTCAGTATATTATGTTCCCTTTCTTTGATGCCCCCAACACTGATGAATTCTTAAAAAAGGCCCTGGTATTATTTAGATGATCCATATTCAAGAAATCTATCAACTAGATCACTCTCCTCCGCAGAGGCTTTTTTGTTTTCTTTCTATATATTAAAGTTTGACTTGCGGGCAGTAGCGGGCTAGGCAGAGAAGTGGGCACGCGGGGGGTGACGCACGCGGGGGGTGACGGGAAGAATGAAATTGAGGAAGCCTCTGCCATTTAATGTATCCAACATGGCGTCATATTTCCGAGCGAAGACTGGAACGCATTCCTTGCTCATGAATATTGAACAAAATGGCCGTGAATGCAAATGCAAATCAGATTGTTTTGTCATTGGCAAATAGACCATTTCAAGAGGCGAAAGTAAACGGCAAGACAATATGTTCAGCGTGTTTTGACGATACGAATGACATTAAATTTTTCATGGAAGATAACGGCTTAACGCAGCATTTTAGAGTGAAGCACAGTCACTTGGTGCTAGATGAAGGCATAACCAAGCATTGTAAAATGCTTTTCCAACACCTACATGGCCAAGAAACATCCAAAATATTAAAGCAACTATCCGCACTTCGACTAAATACGGTAAGAATGTACTTCGCCATTTTATATGTCTATAATCTTTTATATTAAAAGTCTTGTTTTGATAAGACCTAAAAGTCTATGTAGAAGTTTTCAAGCAAATATTTCATTCAATAATTTACATTTTACACGAGAAGTGTTTCAATTGTAATTTAATATTTTGTTTGGAGTTTATATACAGTATGAATCATCAGGTTGGTTTAATGAACAGACAGAACAGTTTACGAAAATGTGAGAATATAGCTTGAGGATTGCTTAATATAATAATATTGTATTACTGGAAATTTATAGTAAACTATTGGGCCATTCCATTTAAAATATACAGACACTTCAATAGTTGGAGCGCACATCCAATGGGGGAGAAGGGGGTCTTCATTTTAAATTTTCATATTTAAAGAGGATAGCTTGAGATTTTAAGAAAACGGCAAAAAAAATATGCATTTTAGTGATATTGAAGAAGGGAAAATGTTATCTTAAAGGGGTTAGTAAGATATCCTCTGGGGTAACTTCCACAATGACCACAAATTGCATCCAATTGCAATTGCATCCTAAGGGGGATTGAAGGGTGCCTATATTAAATGGAATGGTCCATTGCTAAGAGTTTGGAGGTTCAATATTTTGTTCATTTAAATTTTTTCACAGAAAGGTTCGTGCAATTCTAGTTCAGAAATGTATCAAGAATTTTATGTTGCACGGATTGATGAAATTGACAGTATGGGCATGGAAATTGCAGCCAAATGCAGAAGAGAAGCAGCAAAGTTGTATGGTTTGCTACTTAAACATCACGGCCTTTTAAAGCATTTGGGAAGGACTCCTTGCCTAGTTAAAATTGTTCTAAAAGGAAACACTAACGACAGTCATGGCCAGTGTTTTAAGTTATGGGATGCTGGAGATAAAGTTTATGCTGAATGTTTTATTACACCTAAAAGAGTAAGTTTTATATCATATATTACAATGCTATGTAATTCATTACAATGTTTACACTGTCAGGTACAAGTTACAGGTATCTTCATCATTGCAGAAAGTATAAAAAATTGAAAACAATGACTGGCATTGGTGGGGAAAGCAAAATGCCTGCAATACTTGCCATTACGTATACAGACCATAGCCAACTCCTTTTAACTGGTCCATACCAAGACACAAGGTTAACAAGACACAAAGGAAGCTAGAGCCAGTAAGGTTTTTTAGGGTGGTGCTAAATGAGCAGCCAAGCACACTGAACCCATCTAACTGGCCAGCAACATATTGTCATGAAAGTGCACCTAGTATTATCTTGGTTAGAATTTACAGATATAACGTTGAATAAACATATGTAATTTAACAATCATATAAAATATAAACTCCCAATTCTCTTCATACTGTGATTGTATGAAAGAGAAACTTTCCGAACTTACACATATTAGTATTTTGAACCGTTGCTGTGGAGATGCCTCGAATTCCAACACTTAAGTTAGTCTAAGACTGATAACAAAGCTTGAATGCCTCAAACATTAAAAAGTAAGATAAATTTAATTTTTTTGGACCCCAGTAGATCAAGGCCAACAGGGTCCTATCCCCTATAAATCCATCACTGCAAGGGAACATTATCAGGCCATTGAGTGCCAACACTTTTTATGCATTAGACAGGATTAATAACCATGCAAGTAGCATATGCCCTTCGTTACCATTACTTTTTCTAATACCAGACAATGTTACTTGTCAATGACAGAGTGCATGGTACTAATGGATTTTTGTTATTCCATATTACTGGATATTTCGAAAAAATGCAGGCTACTTGGTTATTAACCCGGTGTAATCCATAATAATTGTTTGCAAAATTAAAAACCTGGTTAAAAATGACTGAAAAAGTATATACAAGAAGAATGTATTGCACATGGTTACAATAAAAATGGCAATGCGCCTGGGTGCGCCCGACTTTATTATTTTACTATGTATAATGCCTGACTATTTTACTCTGTTTAATGTCAGACAATTTTACTTGTCAGTGGGAGAGTGCTGCCACTCAATGGGTTAAATATATGTATAAGTTGGACTAAAATTAGGCAGGGTTAAGATGAAATGTAGGAATAAATATTTAATACAAAAGAACAGTTAGACAGTATCTATTTTCAATAAGTTTCTATTGTTTTTATAATAACAAAAATAATCAACAGTAACCATTATTTTGATACTAGGTGTAATACATTGTTAGAAAATGATCTCATCTACTCAGATTCCATTATTTGTATGCTTTATATCCTATAAACTGTCTCATAGTGAGCTTGGTAGCAATTAGAGTGAGTTGTCTGAATCATTAGTACTGTATTCTCTACCGAATATAAAGCATACTAATAAAGAATTGAAATAATTCTTCATAGATATGATAATTTTCTAAAACCTATGAGTTCCAATTACCATTACCAATGTTTAATTACTATCCTTGCTTTTTTATTGTAGCACACATGTCTACCAAAACAACATACTACTACAGCATTACCCCATGACTGGTTAGATGATGATACATCAAGTATGAACTTTAGCGTGAAAGGTAAAACTCTATTAGAAGTGCTCCAAAGCGTTTTTGGACATCGAGATTTTAAACCTGGACAAGAAGAAGCAATCAGAAGTTTAATTTCTGGAAAAGACACAATTGTCCTCATACCCACTGGAGGTGGAAAAACTGTGACATATGCACTTCCATGCATTATGACTCCTGGTATTGCTATTGTTGTATCACCTCTCATAATGTTGATGTACGACCAAGTGTCAAGGCTGCAAAAACATGGCATCAACACATGTTATTATAACACTATGTTGAGTGACAGTGAAAGGCTAAACATTCTGCATAATTTGAAACAATCCAACTGTCAGTACGAGTTTGTGTTTGTCAGCCCAGAAGCTGTTATAACTGATAATTTTCTAAGTTGTTTAACCAAACTTAGCAGTGAAGGAATGTTGAGCTTTTTCATTATTGATGAAGCACATTGCATCAATACATGGGGAACAGAATTCCGACCTGCATACCAGCAGTTAAACACTTTACGGAAATTTAATGTTCCAGTTGCTGCACTAACTGGCACAGCAACAGAACAAACCCTGGATGCCATTAAATCAACCATGCAGATGAACAATCCACTGATTGTACGAATGCCATGCAGGAGAAGCAATTTAGTGTATTCAGTTGTTGAAAAGAAAGAGACCAAATCCAAGCAGCAGATATGTACAATCATCACAGAAGAATATCCAGAAACATGTGGCATAATATACTGTGCAACTCAGTCAGACACAGTGGAAATGGCATTTGTTCTGAAGCAACATGGTGTGACAGCCACATTCTACCATGCTGGAGTGGAAAGTGGTGACAGAATGAGGAATGCGTCGCTTTGGTTAAGCAACAAGGTGAATGTAATGTGCTGCACTAATGCTTTCGGTATGGGTATTGACAAAAAAGATGTACGGTTTGTCATGCATCAGTCAATGCCTTCATCACTTGAAGATTATGTACAAGAATCAGGAAGGGGTGGTCGTGATGGCGAGAACTGTTATTGTACATTACTGTTCCGCTTTGAAGACCGAACATTTCATCTCCGCAACCTATCCAACCTATCCAGATTGACTTTAGAACAGGAGAAAGAAAACAAGATCCATCTGCTAAACTCCATAACAGAGTTCTGCATGGAACATTCTGTATGTCGGCAGCAAGTCATTGCAAAATATTTTTCTGAGGATGTAGGAGAAACGTGTAAATCTTGTGATGTGTATCAAAAAGGAGTTGTCCATGAGGTCAAGGATTACACACAAGAAGCGAAAAATGTTATAGAATGTTTATCAAATTTGAATTCTTTGAACTCCAAAGTCAAAATTAGTCAACTGGTTATGACATACATGGGTTCAAAAGCAAAGGGGATCATTGCCAATGGATTCCATGCTGTTCCACAGTATGGTAAAGGTAAAACCACTTTCCATAGCTGTACATATCTCACTAAATTTGTACAGCATCTAATTTTTAAAGGACTTGTAAAGGAGAACATACAAAACATAGAGAATAGGATTTCTCTAACATACATAGGAGTTGGTGATGTTGTTAACTTGCTCAATAATGAATGTAAAGTATTCTTTTGAAGTGATTGTATACATGTAAAACTATAGCACTACCACTCTTCCCCACATTGGTCTTTGTGGTAAGGTGTAAACTTATGAAAAAAAGGCATTTTGCATGGGTGGTTTGTTTATATGTATGTGTAGTGTATATGACCAGTGCATCAAAAATTGCATTCTCTGTAAACAAACCGCATACATGAGCAAAATGACCTTGACTATTGCTTAAATCTTATGGGATTCCAGATGAGACTTTTTCATACTAACCTATACACATGGTAGTTTAAATCTATTTAATTTAAATATTACTTATGAAATCACTAAATGAAACAGGATTTAGTTTTGTGTGTTATTTCACATTTAGAAAGATCTAAATTTTCCCTGTGTGTATATGTACAGTACCCTACATACTGTAGGTACGTATGATAAATACTCAACTGAAATGCATATATATTAAATTTACACACCATTAATTTAATATAGTGGAATTAATCTGTATATACAAGTTTCTTCAAAATCCAGTTAACATTGTTCTTGTCATTATATTATTGTTCTTACATAGTCAGTTGAAATCGACAGTAATTCACTTCAAATTTCAATAAATTTGATCTATTTTCAGCATTTTGGTGTCATATAAAGCAGATAATGAATGTTCTCATTCGTGCAATAGTCATTCGTTGAAAGATGTAATTTAGTTTATATTTAACAAATATAAAACATTTTCCGTGTTGATATACAGTTATATCAACACGAGTGGAAATTGGGAAAACGAGAAATTGTGTGGAAACACGACGCCCGAAGGGCGGAGTGTTTTCACACAATTTCGAGTTTTCCCAACTTCCACGATATAACGTGTTGATATAACGATATATCAATACGGAAAAAATGTTTTATATTTGTTTTATAATATAGCAATGTCAAAAGCCCGAAGAATAAGAAAAATTTCCGTGTTACAATCACAAATTTCCGTCTTAGCCAATCAGCGTTCAGAATTTACAAATGCTATATTATAATTTATATTAATTTGTTTATATTTAAACATTGCCTCAGGAACACTGAGTGTATACTATTCCATTAAAATTTTATACCTTAAATCAGGAAAACTATCGTACAATTTGGCTGCAAACGTGTCCCTGATCTTGATCTTCCCTTTCTGTTCCACGTCAAGCAGGTTTTTCGGAACTTTTCCAGCAGCAGAACCGTTTCCATCAAGTGAATAGCATTCAACTTCCTGGCGTTTCTTGTCTTCAAAAAATCCCTTTCGTATACTAAACCATGCACCTGTAACATAGATACGAAAAAAATATTTAATTATTTACTGAAATTTAGTACAAAAACCGTTTTCTCTATTGCTATTGTCAAAATGTATAAAATTTAACGTTTTTCTGTAAATGATATCCTACAACTAACCACTGATATTTTACACACCTTTCAACTGATCTGGTAGTGGTGACTGGACGGAATGTCTAGAATTTTAACATTAAAACATTAATCGCTCACACATGTGAACTGTAGTATGACCAGAAACATACTTCTTGAATGGCTGCACAACTTCAGATTACACATATGCATCGAGCTCAACCCCATGGCCTTTCTTTCCTAAAGAGTTGGATATATTTTTTATTTTAAAATGGATTTTCTTGAAATTGCTAAAATATTTTACAGGTCAACTACAAAATTAACCTATAAAGGGGCAACTACACTACTACACATAAATATAGATAGCATATTTTCATTCACCCAGTGTTCAGGAGTTGACTTGAACCCAAATAACTCCAAAGGACTTGTTCAAATCGCTTGCTTGGTTAGAGTGGATATGGCTTGTGACAGATTTGCATTTGTTTTGATTTGAGTTCCACTATCACTACAGATGTGTTCTAAGCCAGTTCCAGGGAGTGTTAGTGGAAGTCAAATCTGAACCTCTATATTATTTATTATAGAACAATGGAAATGTTTGTACATACCTAGAAGATTAACTGAGCAGTTTTTCTGTAGCAGCAGTCTTGTTGCAAGTGGCCACTTTGTTGTGAAATTCACAATGTGACGGAATGTCTCAGTGAAGTAGTTTCGAAATCCAAGTTGTGCGTATATTGGGGCCAGAGCTTGGTAGACAGCTTCACGTGCAATACCGTCACCATCAAAAAAACTTACAATCAAACCAAGATGATTTAGCATGCTGATAAAACGAAGTCCTGCTCCAAATGATCTGCACAAGCATGTGAATAGCAGTTTGAAGTCATTTGGAATTTTCTGGCTTCTCAAGCTAACCAGAATAGCAAGGGAATGTACAGCGCTCTTGACACGCCTTTCAGAAACAGCGCTGTCCTCTTTTCCCTGCAGAAGAATTGTATCTAATACATTAAACAGTAAAGGGCAGTTTTCCCGAAGATTACCAGTTAATGATGAAAATATACCACTTAAAGCATCACCACACAAAGTATTTGATTGAATGTTTTTGTTCAAATATTGAATGAAGATGGACATTTCCTCATTTAACTGCAGCGTTTCGTGAGCACAGAGAGTCTCACACTGCGACTGACGTTCAACAAGTTGGTCAACTTCTTTCTGAAGTAATGTTGTCATGGTGTTCTGTAGCTCTTGCATTCTGTTTTGAAGTTGTTGCTGCATACGCCTTAATACTTTCAGAACATCACTTTGGACCTCTTCGGTAGACAAATGAGTATCTAGTCTTTTACTTATGTCATCCAGTTCAGTTGATGTAGTTTTGATCAACTCTTTAAGGTTGGCTATTTCAGCACTTTCATTCAGTGGCAAAAAGGAAGTTGTATCTGAACTCGAAGATGTGTCTGTACTTGCAGATGCAGACAGATGAGTTTGCTTATTTGGCAACAGTGATTTAGGACCAACATGTTTATAGAATGTAACTCTATCTTTTCCTGTCCCCTTTCTTTCAACTACTGAATCAGGAAAGGCTTGCTTAATTGCATTTGTTGCTTGTATTTTTGGGAGACTGTTTAGCTGTAATATTTCAAGAACTACATCTTGTTTCAAATAACAGTTCGTTCTTTCCTCAAAATTATCATGCAAGACATTAACATAACCTTCTCTTCTTCTCTTGTAGAATGTACCTGCAGGCTTTTTCTGGCCATATAAATCTGTCTTCCTACCTGTTAGAAGATTAAACATTGTTGTCATGCAGTGATCAATTTAATAGTAATCACTTAATGTTAGATGACTACTGTAGAACCCCACCCCCAATTGCAAATTTGCAATTGGCGGTAGTCATTATTATAGTATAATTACACAAGTAGATTATATAGAATGATATAACAATTGTTGTATGGTAAATGAATTTTTGGCCAATATGAGACACCCAATTTTCATCCCCTTGGTAGCACCCC